GTGATGCTTACTATTGATGTTCTGGTGATGCTTACTATTGATGTTCTGGTGGATGCTTACTATTGATGTTCTGGTGATGCTTAGTATTGATGTTCTGGTGATGCTTACCATCGATGTTCTGGTGGATGCTTACTATTGATATTCTGGTGGATGCTTACTATTGATGTTCTGGTGATGCTTACTATTGATGTTCTGGTGATGCTTACTATTGATGTTCTGGTGATGCTTACTATCGATGTTCTGGTGGATGCTTACTATCGATGTTCTGGTGGATGCTTACTATTGAGATGTTCTGGTGATGCTTACTATTGATGTTCTGGTGGATGCTTACTATTGATGTTCTGGTGATGCTTACTATTGATGTTCTGGTGGATGCTTACTATTGAGATGTTCTGGTGGATGCTTACTATTGATGTTCTGGTGACGCTTACTATTGATGTTTGGTGATGCTTACTATTGATGTTCTGGTGATGCTTACTATTGATGTTCTGGTGGATGCTTACTATTGATGTTCTGGTGATGCTTACCATCATTGGTCTGGTGATGCTTACTATTGATGTTCTGGTGATGCTTAGTATTGATGTTCTGGTGATGCTTACTATTGATGTTCTGGTGGATGCTTACTATTGAGATGTTCTGGTGGATACTTACTATTGATGTTCTGGTGATGCTTACTATTGATGTTCTGGTGGATGCTTACTATTGAGATGTTCTGGTGGATGCTTACTATTGATGTTCTGGTGACGCTTACTATTGATGTTTGGTGATGCTTACTATTAATGTTCTGGTGATGCTTACTATTGATGTTCTGGTGGATGCTTACTATTGATGTTCTGGTGATGCTTACCATCGATGGTCTGGTGATGCTTACTATTGATGTTCTGGTGATGCTTAGTATTGATGTTCTGGTGATGCTTACTATTGATGTTCTGGTGGATGCTTACTATTGATGTTCTGGTGGATGCTTACTATTTATGTTATGGTGATGCTTACTATTGATGTTCTAGTGATGCTTACTATTGATGTTCTGGTGGATGCTTACTATTGATGTTCTGGTGGATGTTTACTATTGATGTTCTGGTGGATGCTTACTATCGATGTTCTGGTGGATGCTTACTATTGAGATGTTCTGGTGATGCTTACTATTGATGTTCTGGTGGATGCTTACTATCGATGTTCTGGTGATGCTTACTATCGATGTTCTGGTGGATGCTTACTATTGAGATGTTCTGGTGGATGCTTACTATTGATGTTCTGGTGATGCTTAGTATTGATGTTCTGGTGATGCTTACTATTGATGTTCTGGTGATGCTTACTATTGATGTTCTGGTGATGCTTACTATTGATGTTCTGGTGGATGCTTACTATTGATGTTCTGGTGGATGCTTACTGTTGATGTTCTGGTGATGCTTACTATTGATGTTCTGGTGGATGCTTACTATTGATGTTCTGGTGGATGCTTACTATCGAGATGTTCTGGTGGATGCTTACTATTGATGTTATGGTGGATGCTTACTATTGATGTTCTGGTGGATGCTTACTATTGATGTTCTGGTGGATGCTTACTATTGAGATGTTCTGGTGGATACTTACTATTGATGTTCTGGTGATGCTTACTATTGATGTTCTGGTGGATGCTTACTATTGATGTTCTGGTGGATGCTTACTATTGATGTTCTGGTGGATGCTTACTATTGATGTTCTGGTGGATGCTTACTATTGAGATGTTCTGGTGGATGCTTACTATTGAGATGTTCTGGTGGATGCTTACTATTGAGATGTTCTGGTGGATGCTTACTATTGATGTTCTGGTGATGCTTACTATTGATGTTTGGTGATGCTTACTATTGATGTTCTGGTGATGCTTACTATTGATGTTCTGGTGGATGCTTACTATTGATGTTCTGGTGATGCTTACTATCGATGTTCTGGTGATGCTTACTATTGATGTTCTGGTGGATGCTTACTATTGATGTTTGGTGATGCTTACTATTGATGTTCTGGTGGATGCTTACTATCGATGTTCTGGTGATGCTTACTATCGATGTTCTGGTGGATGCTTACTATTGAGATGTTCTGGTGGATGCTTACTATCGATGTTCTGGTGGATGCTTACTATTGATGTTCTGGTGGATGCTTACTATTGATGTTCTGGTGATGCTTACTATCGATGTTCTGGTGGATGCTTACTATTGATGTTCTGGTGATGCTTACTATTGATGTTCTGGTGATGCTTACTATTGATGTTCTGGTGATGCTTACTATCGATGTTCTGGTTGATGCTTACTATCGATGTTCTGGTGGATGCTTACTATCGATGTTCTGGTGATGCTTACTATTGATGTTCTGGTGATGCTTAGTATCGATGTTCTGGTGGATGCTTACTATTGATGTTCTGGTGGATGCTTACTATTGATGTTCTGGTGGATGCTTACTATTGAGATGTTCTGGTGGATGCTTACTATTGATGTTCTGGTGGATGCTTACTATTGATGTTCTGGTGGATGCTTACTATTGATGTTCTGGTGGATGCTTACTATTGATGTTTGGTGATGCTTACTATTGATGTTCTGGTGGATGCTTACTATTGATGTTCTGGTGGATGCTTACTATCGATGTTCTGGTGGATGCTTACTATTGATGTTCTGGTGATGCTTACTATTGATGTTCTGGTGGATGCTTACTATTGATGTTCTGATGATGCTTACTATTGATGTTCTGGTGATGCTTACTATTGATGTTCTGGTGGATGCTTACTATTGATGTTCTGGTGGATGTTTACTATTGATGTTCTGGTGGATGCTTACTATTGATGTTCTGGTGGATGCTTACTATCGATGTTCTGGTGATGCTTACTATCGATGTTCTGGTGGATGCTTACTATTGAGATGTTCTGGTGATGCTTACTATTGATGTTCTGGTGATGCTTACTATTGATGTTCTGGTGGATGCTTACTATTGATGTTTGGTGATGCTTACTATTGATGTTCTGGTGATGCTTACAATTGATGTTCTGGTGATGCTTACTATTGATGTTCTGGTGATGCTTACTATTGATGTTCTGGTGATGCTTACTATTGATGTTCTGGTGGATGCTTACTATTGATGTTTGGTGATGCTTACTATTGATGTTCTGGTGGATGCTTACTATTGATGTTCTGGTGATACTTACTATCGATGTTCTGGTGGATGCTTACTATTGATGTTCTGGTGGATGCTTACTATTGATGTTCTGGTGATGCTTACTATTGATGTTCTGGTGATGCTTACTATTGATGTTCTGGTGGATGTTTACTATCGATGTTCTGGTGGATGCTTACTATTGATGTTCTGGTGGATGCTTACTATCGATGTTCTGGTGATGCTTACTATTGATGTTCTGGTGATGCTTACTATTGATGTTCTGGTGATGCTTACTATTGATGTTCTGGTGGATGCTTACTATCGATGTTCTGGTGATGCTTACTATTGATGTTCTGGTGGATGCTTACTATTGATGTTCTGGTGGATGCTTACTATTGATGTTCTGGTGGATGCTTACTATTGATGTTCTGGTGGATGCTTACTATTGATGTTCTGGTGGATGTTTACTATTGATGTTCTGGTGGATGCTTACTATTGATGTTCTGGTGATGCTTAGTATTGATGTTCTGGTGATGCTTACCATCGATGTTCTGGTGGATGCTTACTATTGATGTTCTGCTGATGCTTAGTATTGATGTTCTGGTGATGCTTACTTTTGATGTTCTGGTGATACTTACTATTGATGTTCTGGTGATGCTTTCTATTGATGTTCTGGTGATGCTTACTATTGATGTTCTGGTGGATGCTTACTATGGATGTTCTGGTGGATGCTTACTATTGATGTTCTGGTGGATGCTTACTATCGATGTTCTGGTGATGCTTACTATCGATGTTCTGGTGGATGCTTACTATTGAGATGTTCTGGTGGATGCTTACTATCGATGTTCTGGTGGATGCTTACTATTGATGTTCTGGTGGATGCTTACTATTGATGTTCTGGTGATGCTTACTATCGATGTTCTGGTGGATGCTTACTATTGATGTTCTGGTGATGCTTACTATTGATGTTCTGGTGATGCTTACTATTGATGTTCTGGTGATGCTTACTATCGATGTTCTGGTGGATGCTTACTATCGATGTTCTGGTGGATGCTTACTATCGATGTTCTGGTGATGCTTACTATTGATGTTCTGGTGATGCTTAGTATCGATGTTCTGGTGGATGCTTACTATTGATGTTCTGGTGGATGCTTACTATTGATGTTCTGGTGGATGCTTACTATTGAGATGTTCTGGTGGATGCTTACTATTGATGTTCTGGTGGATGCTTACTATTGATGTTCTGGTGGATGCTTACTATTGATGTTCTGGTGGATGCTTACTATTGATGTTTGGTGATGCTTACTATTGATGTTCTGGTGGATGCTTACTATTGATGTTCTGGTGGATGCTTACTATCGATGTTCTGGTGGATGCTTACTATTGATGTTCTGGTGATGCTTACTGTTGACGGGCATTATATATCAAACAAGCAACATTATATATTTGTTTGTTTTAAAATATCTATAAACACCTTAAGCCGGTGTCACATGTGGACCAAGATTTGCTTACCATTCCGGAGCACTTTGAGGTTACAACAGATTTTTTATGCGGTTCGTGTTGTTCAGTCTTTAGTGTTCTATTTAAGTATTTTGTAGACTGTTGTTTGTCTTTACGCCGTTTTCCGTTTTTATCCATGGTGTTGTCGGTTTCTCTTCGACGTATGACATTCAATGTTAAAAGACCACTTTCTAGATATGTCCTTCACCGGAAAAGTGAAGCGCCTTTATGACGTCATTTACCAGATAGAGAGGATCGCCTTTTAAAGATTTTATATCAGACAATCAGGATATAACCACTTTTAAACCTGTTTTAATGAAGTAAAACTTTTCCGGTAATAATAAACACATATAAACAACATCTCCTTATTTGTTTATGCATATGTTTTCCCAACTGACAACAGGGAAACTATTATTCAGAACGGAATAAAAAATATAAAAGTAGCTATACAAGGTAAGACATTGTCATAAAATATTAGGCATAACACAAATCGCAGCAAAAATATTTCCGGAAAGAATACCTCTATCACGTGACCTCTATTATTCCTTGACATTTATGGCGTACGGAAAGGGTCAAAAGTAAAAAGATGTGCATAAGCTATAAAATATAGCTTATGCTGCTTTGTAGCATAAGCTATATTTGACGTCCCAAAAGGGTCAATATATATTTGTCTGGTTATGCTGCAGTTTTATCGCATATGCTATATCACAAACATTGACTATGCTATATTTTTAAATTGTAGCATATGCTGTACTATTTCAAACACATCATTAAAGGGTCAAAACTCGAAAGTAGCATAGGCTGTATAATTTATTTTGATTAGACTGTATATCTTACTGTTGGAAGGCGTGTTTAACGAATCTAGTCAATTATCATCACTAAAGTATCCGCCCTTTTTATCAGTACTTATAGAAATGAAATGTATAATGCGATAATTTGAAAACAAAAAAAAACTTTTTTAATGATCAAGTCCGAGTTTATTGAAAAACAAATCATTTTTTAATATTATTACATTTTATATATTCATATGTTTTGCCTGGTATATTAGTGGATTTTATCACACTGGCACCGGGTAATTTTAAAACAAGTGGAATGGAAACGCGGCATACATGAACAATAATTTTCTTATATCATGATCTCTGTCTCGGGTGATGTATTAATTATGTACCCAGCAGAGCCTTTTCGCTAACAAATATTCACATGTACGTCCCTGCCGTGGCAATTAAGGGCATATCCAACAGTTTATTTCTGACGGTGAGAATTTTTCCCCCCTTAAGATATATAGGCTATTTTTTACCTGCTTAAATCAAATATGTAATAAAAAATATACCTTCATGTGCTACTTTTTGAGTAAAATGAGGTCAAAATTTCAGATATTTGCTCAAAATTCGGATTTGTGGACGTATTTTTCCTCCCGACAGATGTGCATAACTTTTTTGTTTTAAAAGATAAACAGATAAACACAAGCTGTTTTTTTGTTAAATTATTTATAAGTTTTTTTTGTTAAATTATTTATAAGTTCTCTTTTATATAAGTATCCTATAAATTTATGAAATATTTTGTTTAGAAATAACTAAAAGGACAAGCTAGGTACGATAAGCATCAGAGAACGGCCCCCGATTTCGATTCAAATTAAAAGTGATATGCCATAAATTATAGTACTATATTTTTAAAGTTTAAAACCTATATTTTTGTAAACATCAATAGATTTGTCAACTTTAGCTGATATTATTCATGCTTTGTTGCTGTAAACACCTCAAGATTCGCGAAAACGGCAGATAAATGGCAGTTTCCAAATCTTTTTCTGCATTTTAAACTATGAGCGTACCTACGGCCCACGATAATATTTAAACCTAACATTCCTTGAATATAAATGTTGATGTAGTTCAAAAACCTTAGTGGGCCGTAGGTACGCTCATAGTTAAAAATTAAAAAAAGGTGAAAAAAAATCGTCAGTTTTCATTGAATCATCGAAATATTTAAACGAACTGCGGACCGGAGATGATTTCCGGTATTCGCTGGATTCGACAAAAAGACTTTTCTTCGTGCTAAAATGGCTAGTTTTTTACGACAAATTTTACATCTTCGAGAAAGGAACACAGAATATTCCTGTATTTTTTATTGTATGAATTTAAAGTGAGATTATAGCAGATTGTCGGGGTTTGACACAAATCAGAAGGAACTGTGACAAACTGCAGAGAAATTTTGGGAATGTAAATCACTAACTGAAACCAAAGTTATTAAATAACTGGTTCATCCTCAAATAGTTCCTTTTTGACTAAATTTCAATATTTGGAACACTGTGACACAGACGTTGATTGGCATGTCGAAGCATACATATGATATGTCTTTGTAGCGTAAAAACTGCACAGATTTGTTAAACATGTTATCCATGGAATGGTGTATTCTAAACAAAAACAAGTTTTGACTATAAATTCTATACTCAACAGATTGATAATGGCAATGAATGGTGTCAACATTAAATGTTAGTACAACTTTACCCGTCAGAAACACGTATTTTGTTTTATAAATGACGAAATCGTGGCCCTGGAATCTATTAATCTCCGTTGACGCTTTTGTGAAAAGTCCTTTCTTTAACGTCCGCATTTCTTTCATGTATGGCATGCCAAGTTATCATTTTAGGCAATCATTACGAAAATAAACTACAGAACTACAGAACAGTAAATAATAACATACATTGTATCATACGACATAAGACGACACCATGTGATAATTTTAATTATTTAATTGTGAAACTGTAACAGTTATAAAGATCAAACAAAACTATCCAACACTATTGCGAATTAATATTGTGTAATTTTTTTACCATGATGTTTATAAAAAAGAAGATGTGGTATGATTGCTAATGAGACAACTCTTGACAAGTGACCAAATGACACATAAATAATTTAACAACTATAAGTCACCGTACGGCCTTCAACTATGAGTAAAGCCCATACCGCATAGTCCGCTATAAAAGTCCCGAAAATGACAAATGTAAAACAATTCAAACGAGAAAACTAACGGCATAGTTGATGTACAAAAAATGAACGAAAAACAAATATGTGACACAGTAACAAACGACAACCACTGAATAACAGGCTCCTGACTTGGGACAGGCACATACATACAGAATGTGGCGGTGTTGAACATGTTAGCGGGATCCCCTAACCTGGGACAGTGGTGTAACAGTACAACATAAGAACGAACTATAAAAATCAGTTTAAAAAGGCTTAACTCATCAGATGGATACAAATAGAAATGCATCTAACAAAAACACAGAGTGGATTTGTTTGTATTTATTGTACTTATGATTTGTAATTGTCCCCCGCCTTCCCGCTGCTCTTTTTCAACGACAACGCGTGCAACTTCGTATTTCTTGTCTGAAAATTGTTCTCTACATTACTTTCCGTCATAAACATTCATGAAGTATTTGTCACTGGACGGTCAGAAAACAACATTCAATCAATCATATCTCCTCTTAATTTGCAGTACTATAATGACTTTAAACATACTTAAATAAATAAAAATGGTTATTGTTTTAATCAGATATTCATACGTCAAAGAAAAGGAAAAAAAACGCGAATATTGAATATCAAAGGAAAAAAATGCATCATAGTCAAAGATATCATGCTTGTAATTTTGTATGTGTGTTTCGTGTACAAAAGGTCGATTAAAAAAGTCATTAGATCATAAAAGGCCCAAGATTCCGGAACGTTTTGCCAAATACAGATCAGGTTATCTATTCCTGAATATAAAATTCGTAGTTTGTCAAACTAAGCATATCTCCAACACTCTTGTGTTTGCTATACGCAACAATTGGTGCTGTATTGAATATTTGTACACAATCTTCGTCTAACTGTAATAAATGCCCGTGTTTCATAATACGTTTCTTTATTTTACGTATATATGGATTATATTTAGTTATTAAAACTAATGGAATATTTTGTTTTTCTTTTGATTTGTTTTGTTGTAGTAATTCAGTAGTCAATTGATAAAGCATCAGTAATACTATCATCTATTTCCACGTTATCATAACCCCTATCTAATAATTTCACTTTGAAATTAGTTAGATTGTTTATTAATTTGTTATGGTCACTTGTGTTTCTAATTTGCCGTATTGCTTCACCTTTAATAAATCCTCTGAATACATGCTGTGAGTGACAGCTATATCTGTGCAGAAACAGATAAGAATTGGTTTCTTTAAAATGTAGTCAAGGTCAAGCATGCCATGTGTTGTAAATCTTTGACCTTTGATTACATCAACATCTAAGAACGACATTTTATCGTTTGAGATTTCATATGTAAACTTTAATAAGGAGTTATAATTATTTGCTAGACAAAACGAATCTATAATTTAATCTAGATATGCAGATTTTAACTAAACAAATGATTAACTACGCAAACATTACTCCAAGTACAGTACTTGTCTGTACTTCTACAAGGAGGGTTAATATTTAAAAAGAGAGCCAAACGATACCAAAGGAACAATCAAATTCAAAGGTCGAAAACAAACCGACAAAGCCATGGCGAAAAACGAAAACCGACGAGAAGACAAACAGCAGCCAACATATCACAGCATAGAAAACAAAACACTTAGCAACACGAAACCCATTTAAAAACTGGGATGATCTCAGATGCACCGGAAGGAAATTAGATCCTGCATTTTGGCCACGGAGGATTTTTTTTCAAATATGAAAGTAATTGTGCAAAAACAATCTTTTTTAGAAAGCCTTCAAAGTTTGTTTATATGAACATCAAGATTATTTTCACTCGTTTTATGGGTTATTTTCTTTTTGACAGTCCGTATTTTCCTTGGATCCAGAAATTTTTGTAGTACAAAATGTATATGTTTCAACACAGGGAGAAAATTTCGCACCCGGTGGCGGGCTACATCTGGCCCCTAAAAGAAAATGTGTACTAATTCATTGAAGAGGTCCCTGACTTGGGAGAGGCACAAACATGCAGCGGGGCCAAATGTTTACAAAATTTTTTTTCACTAGATCTTTTTGACGTAACTTTACAAAAAAATGAGACGAAAGTCAAATGATTTTTATTTGATCTCTTGATGGATATATGTGAACAGTTTGAGAAAAGGTATCACTCCAATGGATTGAAATTTCAACTTTTGACCAAATTTTGAGGAAATGTGTGACACCTTTACACCACTTTTAGCAAAAACATGTAGGTTTGTGCCATGGATACGTCAAAAATACATTCTAGCTTTAACCTTTCAACTTCTGGATATCAAATCTATACAAAATACTGATTACATACATATACACAAATATGACACAAACAGTAGGCTTAATTTGTGAGAAAGGAAAGAAAAAGGGCTGGTAAAATTTATGTATATTGTTATCTAACGTAAGTACCAATATGAGGACAAATCTCGTTTCATGATGTCATTTTCAAGAAAAGAGCAACGAAAGCTACCATAACATATCAGCTTC